AAAGGCCACCCTAGGTGGTTTGACTCACTTCTGATGTTGGGGGCCTCACGGTATTGCAATAGGATACGGGCCGAAAATGCTGCGGGGAGGCCACCGTTTGATCCCCGTTGCTCGTGGCAACCGGTTCAAGAAGTGTTTTCAATCAAGGAAATTGGCCAGACGCCCTTTCGGGTTTGTGCCAGGCTTTCATAAGGTGGCATATTTCACATAACGTTTTTTTTTTTTTGGAACCAATTAAAATCGTTATGCGAGGCACCACTGTAATTTCAAAGCAGAAACAGTGTTGGTCAACATACCATTCTCCGGCTCCCATTCAACCTCCCAGCATGACCCAGCTGCTGTATGGAGCTGCCATGCCAGGAGAGGGAGCCGGTCGAGGCTCCCGCACTGCCAACCCATGGTGCCCAAAGGGAGCCTGAGACCCATCTTTCTCAGACCACTTCCTGGAGACAAAAGAACAGTACGGTATTTATTTATGAAAGGGGGAAGCATATAGTCACAACTGTCCTGCTCAGATCCATGCAATTCAAGGGGGAATGTGTGATTTCAGTGTCTTATTGTTAGATCTATTTCTACTGTGCCCTGATTATATTTTTGTCCCCATGAGTGCTTTGTTCCGTGGAAAGGGTGGGAATCTTAAGTTTCACCTGTGAAGACGGGGGGGTGTCAGGTCCTGGCGGGGCACCTGAAGCCATGGCCTCTGGCGGGCTTTTCCGTCTCCCTCGTCTGTACCTTTGCGCCCCCCGGACTGAGCAGCCTTTGGAGACGGCGACAGAAGCCGGGTCTCCACCCCCCTTCTTTTCTCTTCTAACAGCCTGCTCTTCCTTTCGTAGATGAGCGTTGGCCAACGAGCCAAGATGATCATCTCACCAGACTACGCCTACGGTTCTACTGGCCACCCGGGGATCATCCCTCCCAACGCCACCCTAATTTTTGATGTGGAGCTTTTGAAATTGGAATGACAAGAGGCACACAACCTCCCGTTTCCCTGCTGTGGGGTAGGTGGTGGGGTAGAAAGAGGGCTCCTTTTCATGGGGGTGTGTGTGGTGGTGCAGAGAGAGATTGCATGTGAGAGAAGGCGGCTGGCTGGCTGGTTCAATGAAAGCAGGGGTTTGGAACCTTCTGGTCTTGCCCGGCCTTTATCCCACTGGTGCAGAGAGGGCGTTTCTTCCTATAAGAAGTGTTAGCAGCAGCCTGAGAGCTCAGCAGGAAAACTCAGTTTTCCTTGGCAACGGGTGGACACTCCACCTTGATCAAATCACCTCTAAAAGGCTGGCTCCTCTCTGGCTTTTCGGTCTCTCCCCCCCCCCCTTTCCAGGCCCTACTGTGGTGCCTGCCTTTTCTTCTCCAGGGCAGGCTCATAACACGGACTGTTCTTTTGATCTCAACAGGTTTGGCCCACGGAGAAATCCAGAAATCTTTGCTTCAAGATGAATGCACATGAATTTGTATGGCGCTTTCCCAGCTATCCACTACACACTTGGTGTACCCATCCACCCTGATTTGAATGTTTTGGGTCACTTCCTCCTTCCTTCTTTTCCTCTGATTTTTTTTGACATTTTCGAGCTATATGCTGTAAACCTTGGCGCTTTTTCAGGTCAAGATCTTTAATCTTATTATTATTATTTTTGGGGGTTGGATTTTTTTTTGTTTTTAGTTGTTGTTGTAGACTTTGAGTTGTGTATGAGCATTTCTAGTACGTATACTGATTGGTTCACATTATACAGGAATAACTGCTTGAAGAAGGCAAACCTACCCCCTTTTTTCCATTTTGTTTTGGACGTATCTTATTTGTATTAAAATGCATTTTGCTGCTGCAAGCCATACAAAGCCACTGGAGGAGCTACCGAAGGCTGAATCATCCTGAAAGTCACATCGTCATAGGAGTTTGGTATGGTTCTCTGCTCGAAACTGGGGGGATTCCAGGGAATCACCCTCTTCCCCTCCCACCATCTTGGGGAAGAGGCTGTTGTCCCCAGTGACCTAGCGCTTGGTCTTGGTTACTTGGGGGGTGCAGTTCTTCCCCAAGTAATTGACCTCTTTTTCCCCCCTCTCCCCTGCCAGTATGGTGGTGTGTGGTGTTTTCTATGGATTTTCAGGAGATTTTTAACCTTTTAGCGGTTCGAATTCCACAACTAGCTAAATTCAAGAACTTTGAAGGTGCTGTATTACCACGGGATGAAGGGGGATGAATCGATATTCGCCTCCCCAGCCAGCAGTGTGGATATACTAGAGAGTACTTTTCTGAGATCTGATGCTGGTCATCGCAGCTTGCAACAGCTTCCTGTACAATGCACCGCTCTCCCCCCCCTCGCCCGCCCATCCTTCCTTCCTTCCTGATGTCATCCCAAATCCACCCCCCCTTTTTTCCTGTGTAGTGAGATTTTGTAAGAGAATTGCCGTTTGCCGCCTCTTCCTCCACCACCGTCACCACATAGACATAGAGAGTTTTATTATCGCAATAAAAATGCTTTATGCTGGCTTTTCTCAACTGGTGTTTGCGTCTCGTGGTTGCCTTTCCTCCTTGACCCTTCCGGTCAACAGGTTTGTGCCCCAGCGGATTTTGATCCACAAGGGATAAAGTTTTGTTTTGTTTAGTACATGGATCTTCGTTTACTTCTGTCACATTTTTAACCGGCTTTCCCTCCAACGAGTTCCAAGGTTCCTCTGCCTCCCTTCTTCCTCCTCTTGCCGACTTTTCAGGTCCATCGGGGTGAGAGGGTGTGGCTGGCCCGAGCCCCCCCTTCCCACAGTCCATTTCAACCCTGGGCTGGGATTCGGACCCACATCTAGGCTTGTGCTCTTTCGGACCTTTGGATTCTGACTCTCTGGTTTCTCCCAAGAATTCCCCAGGCAGAATCCTGAGAGTTTCAGTCCACAAACACTCAGCTTGTGATTTGCTCACCTGGAGAAAAGGACCTTCCTCTAAGCCTCCCTGGGCCTTCTTGGGAGAGGATTGGGCCAAGGCTCAGCTTTGGGTTGTGAAGAAGTATTAAAATCTGCAGGGGGAACATTATTCATTTAAGAACTGAATTACTGGAAGCTGCATTGTGGGGTTTTTTTTTCATGGGAGAATATCATTCTGGTAGAAGAGTTTGATGGGACCATGGGGGTCTCTGTCCATTCTGCCTTTAAATGATAAATGCTCCCATTCCCTCAGACATGAGATTGTTCATTTATTTGGTTGATAACTCAGAAGGTGGTGGTGGTGGTTCCTTCACTGGAAGTACCTAAAGGGAGTTTGGGCAGCTGTCTGGCAGGGAGGCTTCAGTTAAGAGCCTTCTTGCGTCTGCAGGAGGTTAGACTAGATGGTCTTTGGGGTCCCTCCCCACTCTACATTTCTCTGATGCTACCCCAACATTCTCCCAGGATTAGTATTTGAGGCAGGAAAGTTCCCTTCCAGACCCGACCAGTTTTCTTCCTTTCGTACTGATTTTTCTTCCAGAGATTTCGGTCTCTGTCTGGGGAGCCAGAGGTTGGGAGTTCGAATCCCCCACTGGACCTCCTGGAAGAAGAGCCCAGCCTGGGTGGCCTTGGGCAGCGGCACAGCAGTCCCAGGGCACCCCAGGATGAAGGGAAGATGGGAAATCACTGCTGAGTCTTCTCTACCTGGAAAACCCTGAAGAGGGTGGCTATAAATCAGGATTGACTTGATGGCATAAGATGAGAGGATACCCAGGTAAGGTGTCTC